TCCACGGCTACCTTTGCCCAGTCAGGTACTGCACACACATGTCTATTGTCTTCCACTCGCAGTCCTTGGATCATAGACACTGGAGCATCTGATCATATGACCGGATGTTCTTCTCTTATATCTGATTTTCATTCTGTACCTCCTTCTCAAGGTGTTACTCTTGCTAATGGTTCATCCACTCAGGTTTCAAGTTTGGGGATGACTCAACTTAGTGATTCATTGTCTCTCTCGTCTGTTTTACATGTTCCGCAGTTTCCCTTTAATTTAATGTCTATCAGTAAGCTTACTAAATCTCTTCAGTGCTCTGTTACATTTGATCCTACTTCTTGTGTGTTTCAGGATCTCAAGACGAAGAAGAAGATTGGTACGGGGCATGAAGCTGGTGGCTTATATTATTTTGATTTCAAACCTTATCCTGTGGCTCTTCAGTCTTCTCTGTTTCCAGTGGCACTGTCGACTTGGTCACCCGTCACTTCAAGTTTTGAAGCGTCAAGTTCCTAGTCTTAGTCATTTGAAATTCTTGTCATATGAAGTTTGTCAACTTAGTAAGCACCATCGCGTGCCTTTCAAGTCTAGGGTTAATAATCGTGTCTCTAGTCCTTTTCATTTGGTTCATTCAGATGTATGGGGTCCAATAAAACATTCTTCAATCAATAAATTTCATTATTTTGTGACATTTGTGGATGATTATTCTTGCCTGACTTGGTTGTTTCTAATGAAAGATCGTTCTGAGTTGTTTTTAATTTTTCAAAAATTTCACAAAGAAATCAAAACTCAGTTTGGATGCCCAATTCGTATTCTACGTTCTGATAATGCTAAGGAATATTCTTCAACTCCATTTGATACATATCATAGTGATAAAGGAATTATTCATCAAAATTCATGTGTATGTACTCCTCAACAAAATGGAGTTGCAGAACGTAAGAATCGACATCTCTTAGAAGTAACTCGTGCTCTTTTGTTTCATATGCGTATGCCTAAACGGTTTTGGGGTGATGTTGTTCTTACTGCCTGTCATCTTATTAACCGTATGCCGTCATCTGTATTAGATGGCAAATCTCCACATTCTATTTTATTTCCTGATTCTCCCTTGTTTTCTCTTCCTCCTAGGGTTTTTGGATGTGTATGTTATGTCCAATCTTAGTCCTGGTTTTGACAAACTAGACCCACGTGCCACAAAGTGTGTATTTCTTGGCTACTCTCGTTCTCGTAAAGGTTATCGCTGCTATAGTCCTGTTTCTCAACGGTACTTTATTAGCGCGGATGTCACATTTTGTGAATCCATCCCCTATTTTTCAGATACTGATTCACTTCTTGATATCACTCTTGAGTCGTCTCTTTCTGCAATTCCTCTTCCTTCACTCTCTCTTCAACCTCGATCTCTGGTTCCTTCGCCTGCCCCGTTACAGGTGTACACTCAAAGACCAAAGCCATTTGCTGTCGTGCCTCCTCCATCGTCTTCAGAGTCTTTTGATCCTACACCTTCCACTGTGTCTGAATCCTTGCCTATTGCACTTCGTAAAGCTCCTCGCTCGTGTGTTACTAAACATCCCATTGCTCAGTATGTCTCTTATAATTCAATATCGCCATCTTTCTTATGTTTTTCCTCTAAGTTGTCTACTACATTTGTTCCTAAGACTGTGCATGATGATTTGTCTGATTCGGGCTGGAGGAAAGCAATGCAAGATGAAATGGATGCTTTGCATAAGAATGGCACGTGGAATCTTGTTACATTACCTCCGGGTGCCAAACTGTTGGTTGTCGCTGGGTATATACTGTAAAGTATCTTCCAGATGGGTCCGTTGAGCGTTTAAAAGCACGTCTTGTTGCCAAAGGTTATACCCAGACTTATGGTATTGACTATGATGAAACGTTTGCCCCCGTTGCTAAGATTTCTTCTATTCGTGTTTTGATTTCTCTTGCTACTAATCGACATTGGCCTCTGTTTCAGTTAGACATTAAAAATGTTTCTTTGCATGGTGACTTAGCAGAAGAGGTTTATATGGAGCAACCACCTGGGTTTGTTGCTCAGGGGGAGTATCTTTACACTGTTTGTCGCCTTAAAAAGGCCCTGTATGGATTGAAACAATCTCCACGGGTTTGGTTTGGGAAATTCTCTGAGGTGGCATTAAAATTTGGTCTTAATAGATGTCAGACCGACTATTCGGTGTTTCGCCAACGCACTAAAGCTGGCTTCATATTTCTTGTGGTGTATATAGATGATATTGTGATCACAGGTGATGATTCTGAAGGCATTGCTAAGTTGAAGTTGTTTCTGCAATATCGATTCCACATTAAAGACTTGGGTAAACTTAGGTATTTCTTGGGTATTGAAGTTACTAGATCCAAGAAGGGTATAAGTTTATCCCAACGAAAATATGTGTTGGACTTATTAGAAGAAACAGGTATGTTGGGTGGTCGTCCGGTTGATGCTTCTATGGATTGAAATACAAAAATTGTGTCTGATAAGGGTGATCTATTTAATGACCCCAGGCAGATTTCGTCACCTTGTTGGGAAATTAATTTATCTCACTATCACTCGACCTGATATTTCATATGCAGCTAGTGTTGTAAGTCAGTTCATGGGAGTCCCTAGAATGCCACATTGGATTGCTATTCTTCGGATTATCCGATATCTCAAGCAAGCTCCAGGTTTAGGGTTACTATATAAATCAAATGGTCATCTCAGGGTGAAAGGTTTTACAGATACTGATTGGGCTAGTTCTCCTTCAGATAGGAGATCTACTACAGGATACTGCACATTTATAGGAGGAAATCACATTACATGGCGAAGTAAAAAGCAAACAGTGGTAGCTCGATCTAGTGTTGAAGCTGAGTATAAGGCAATGGCCCATACCACTAGTGAGTTGACATGGATACAACATTTTCTAAAGGAACTTGGGTTGACAGTTGAAGCTCCTACTCCATTGTTCAATGATAATCAAGCAGCAGTTCACATTACATCAAATCCTGTGTTTCATGAGAGGACAAAACATATTGAAGTTGATTGTCACTTCATTCGAGAAAAACTATTAAGTGGGAGCATCTCTACTCTATTTGTGAAGTTTGAAGATCAATTAGCTGATATGTTTACCAAAGCATTCGGTCATAACCGGTTAAGAACTATCTGTTCCAAGCTGGGATTATTTGATATATATTCTCCAGCTTGAGGGGGAGTGTTAGAATGTTATATATATATATATATATATATATATATATATATATATAAGTGTTGGGTCATTATGTAATTACAGAAAGTTGATAGGGCCCTTGTGTTATTAAGTAAGACTTGTAATCTTAATATAAGCCTGCATAGGCTTATTAGGTTAGAAATGTTGCAAATACAAGATACGATCTCTCTCTCTCTCTCTCTCTCATATGATTTTGAACAATTGCTAAGCCTCCTTAGAGCTATCCAATAGCACCATGTCATCCACAAATAACATGCACCATGGAAGGTCTCCTTTTAAGTCTTTTCATTATCTCATCCAAGATTATTGTAAATAAATATGAACTTAGCGCTAAACCTTGGTGTAATCCTACTCTTATAGAAAAATCAATCGTCTCCCCACATATCATACAAATTCTAGTCTTAGTATCATTATACATATCCTGAAAAAGTTTTACAAATCTCACGGGAATATGTTTTCTAGAGCCTATCAAATCATGTCTCTTGGAACTTCTATCCTATGTCTTCTCGAAGTATATAAAAACCATGTCTAGATTTTTTTGTTTATTTCTACAACCCTCTACTAACTGCCTTAATAAGTAAATGAACTCTGTAGTGGATCCCCCTTGCATTTAATCCAAATTTATTTTTGGACATTTTTTCATTAGTCTTTGTTCTATCACCCTTTCCTATAATTTCATAGTATGACTCATTAATTTAATTTCTCGATAATTGTTACAATTTTGTATTTCTCTAATTTCTATTCTTGTAAATTGGTATTATAGTACGTTTCCTCCATTTATTCGACATTGTACCTTCCTCTAAAATTTAATTAAATAGATTTGTTAGTCATTCAACTCTCACACTTCTTAAGGTCCCTCGTGCTTCTATAGGAATGTTGTCCGGTTCTACAGCCTTTTGTTTTCCATTTTGTGCAATAATGTTTTCTACCTAGTTCCTATTGATTTTATCTATCATTAAGATTAGGATCATCATTCTCTCTAGGATATTCAGTTGAAAACTGAGAAAGGAGAGAAAAGAAAAGAATGTGATGGCAGAAAGAATGAGAGAGCATAGTGATTCTCTCTCACGTTATATTATTTATACTATCTTGGATAAGCACATAATTACTTATATACTCTTCAACATAGAAAAATAAAATAAAAAAGATAGTTTCCAACATATTCCTCATTTAGAAGTTGTTGAAAGTAAAATTACCGCCTATTCATTATGTGATCATTTTTAAATATTTTTTGATCCACATCTTTAATAACTCTAACTTGATCCATATCTCCAATTAATTTATTCCTAGTTTTTGCCAATTTATAAATACCTTTTCACCCTCTTTTGTACCTAATTTTCCAACTAAATCATCTAGGGAATTCTGTTTGGCTTTAGCTACCATCTTCTTAGCCACATTTTTTAGTTTATTCCTCTTGATTCTTACTTTTTTGCCATTTCTTAAAACTACTTATCTTATTTTGTATTACCTTTTGTATTTCATTATTCCACCACCATGTTTCTTTTTTAATAAATTTCTTTCCATTCATCTCTCCCAAAATCTCTTTCACCACATTCCTAATAGAATCCTCCATGTTCCATTCATAAATTTTTACATTGTCGTACCAATTGCATTTTTTTTCCTTTGTTACCGGTCAACTCCTTCCACTAAAAATATTGATAATTGTCCTTTTGCAATTGGTGTAACAAGCCAAAATGGGTGAACTCTAAATCAAAAAACAATTTGTATGCAGGACATATTTAAATTGAATCAGTAAGCAGCTTCGGAATACGGATGCAGATAATCCAAAGGAAGTAGAGAGAAGTATACCTGATGTTGAATATTTATGGATCCACCAAAAAGCAATATAGAGTACGGGGAGATGATTGTAGTATCCCGCAGAAATATCTTATTTGTTTCCACCTGAGATGAGAAACATTAAACAGACATTCTAAATCTAACAAATAGGTCAAGAACTACATAATAAATATCAGAAGTGAACCTCTCTGAGCATTGCAAAAAATTAACAGCTGCCATAGCATGACTTTTGTAAACAGTTTCCATAAAATTTTAAAACTTGGAAAGATTTGAGCAAAGAATGAATTAAATGGAATGCATCTCATTACATTTCTCTTTAAGGTTCTCTCTCACCGTTTATCATCATTTTTAAGAGGGCAAGTATATGAAATTCTCAAGTTCTCCACTTCCGAACACTCTAGATATTTATATACATGTTTTGGATTTGTTAGATAGCCCCTTAAATTTAGGCTTGATATTAGCTTGTATCTTCTATTACATATGTTTAGGCTTAATTATAGGCTATGTGAGACAGCTTCCTTACATTTAGACTTGATATTAGCTTGTATCTTCTGTTACACGCGTTTAGGCCTAATTATAAGGTTAGCTTACATTTAGCCTTACATTTAAGCTTGTCTTTGTACATGCCCTTTTTGTAACACGCGTATAAATACCCCTATTAGGAATAATACAATTGAGTTGAATTTTCACAATTCTTTTAACTTTCATGGACTTTTAGAAGGTAAGACATCAGTCCAAATAGGAATTTCTTGTTAAGCAAACCACATGCATATGTTAAGAGTTACAGACTTTATCTATACATTTCCACATTAATGATGATAATAGGGGCAGAACTTAATACCTTAAAAGTATTTCGGTTTTAGGTATGTATCTCTATTGAGTGTGATGTGGCCACATATGTATTTTTTCTCCTCTATTAATTTTGTATTACATTTCACATTTTCAAGTTGAGAAAGGTACCAGTGACAGACTTCCTGTTCTGATTAGCTACAAATATGATTTCTCACCTTATGACATGTTCAAATGTTAGACGACTTGAAGAGGACAGATGGACTCAATAATTTAGCAACCTTCTTATCCTTAATGTTATTACATGATCAAATAAAGAGCCTGTTGTGAGGTAAGAGGGCATGATTATTGAAGGGAAAGTAGAATACAGAATATGGAATAATAAATAACTTCACTGCGAATAGGCAAACTTACAAAAAATCCACACCAACATAGAAACAAGATGTTTGCAGTTAAAGCTGGAAACATGAAAAGTTGTAGGGCAAGGAAATTAAACATTAAGTAGTTCCACATGTGCAAACCTTTTCAAGGAAGATGAGAAATGGGTATTGAAATACTTTTACACTGCTGTTGATAGAAGAAGGATGTATGTGAACTTCTCTTTTCCCATCATACCAGGAAGGATGCCCCATTGTTGGAGGAGCTGCAGACTGTTTAAGTGTACCAAGAGCTACTCCAGAAATGCCTTCTTCAGTGGCAGCTACATTAGGGTATAAACCTGCACATATTATTGCCTGCACAGGTACCTTGAAAAGTAAATCTCTAGACAAGTTCAAATGCTACAAAATATAGATCAAACAAAATCTTAGATTTTCAACTGTTACGGTCATATACGATTTTACTCCGAAAGACCTCAATTAATAATGACACAAGGCTTCATTAGGCATGTTGGAGTTTGTTCCCTCTGTAATTAACTAAAGTGAATGTTAGTGCTCCAAGGCAAACATGGTCTGAGGTGGATCCGGATCCCCTCCTGTGGTGGAAATCACAGGACCTCTCCTGTGCCTTAAAACGTTGACGTTTGGAGGCATAATTGGCAGTCACTTGAGACTAATTAAAGTTTTATTTGCCCATTCCTTTAAATAGCCTGTTTTGTTTTTGGAATATTAATCAGCCCTCAAAATAAATCAATGTGATGAAAACTAATTTAAAAAAATTAAAGGATTTTCAATAAAGAAGAACAATGTGTGATATATATATATATATATATATATATATATATGTATGTATTTATATATATGTTTTGATTCAGAAGTGTATTTGCGTGGATATATTGGTTCTTGTTCAAATTAGATTTATAAATATGGGTCTAAGTGCATAGCCTTGCCAAGGTATATGCGTCTATAAATATGGTGGTTGGTGGAGAGGGGTGGTGGTAGGAGGTTGAGAGGGGAGGGGTGATGGCCATTGTTAGAGGGTGGAGGTGGAGATGGCCATGGTTAGATGGTGGGGGTGTAAGACGTAGAGAAAATAGAGTGATAGATATGGAAGGAGGGAGAAGATAAAGAAAATAAATATAATAAAGTTTAGTTGCTGTGCCTCAAAACTTTGTAGTTTGGAGGCACAAGACAAGGCCACAGGACCTCCTCAACACGAGGGGATCCAAGTCCGTTTGAGGTACATTCGTTCCCTAAAAAAATATATATAAAAAGGTAAAAGAAATCCATAACGCAACAAGTAGACAGCATTTTTTGAGGTCTAAGACTTTTTCAAAAGTTGAAGAGGAAGTTTAGCTAGTTCCCCCTCTACAGACAAATGTTAGAATACAACTGACACAAAACTAGTTTTTACTTTTTATGCTATGTGATGTACTGATATAATGCCTACCTGAAAGGGAAAAATAAAATATATTGATTTTGTGTATTAGCACATAAATGACTTGCATTTTTTTTTTTTATAAGTAAACTTCATAAAAGGCGCTTGAAGGGGAGCGAACCCAAAGAAACAAAAGGCGCCTAAGGCGACACTACAATTTTAAGCTATCTACAAAGTCCAAAAGAATATCCATAGATATACAACTCCGCTCATTAACCCAAAAAAAGAGAGAAGGCAGAATACTAAACTTGAGAGACCAAATAGGTGACTCCTCGCCCTTGAAGGATCTCTTATTCCTCTCGTGCCACAACCCCCACCAAATACAAAGGGGAGTGGCCCTCCACGCATCTCTGACTCGGCTCTCCACTGTACACCCTTTCCAAGCTTGTAACATACCAACCTTAGATCTTCAAACAACCCGATCCACACCAAAAACGACCAAGAACATAGACCAAACAGCCCTTGCCACAGGGCAATGCAACAAAAGATGGTTCACAGATCTCCCGACTTCTTGCACATGCAACACCAATTCACCACTATATGACACCTCCTTCTAAGGTTCTCGAGAGTGAGGATTCTACCAAGGGCAGCTGTCCAAGTGAAAAAGGCCACCTTCAACGGAGTTTTAGTTTTCCACACAGCTTTCCAGGGGAGGAAGATGGGGCATGAAGGCTCAATAAGGCAGCGGTAAAATGACCTAACCTCAAACACCCCTCCAGAGGTCCCCACCCACACCATCTCATCCATACGCTCACCCTCCACCACCTACCTATATATCAATCCCAGAAAATCTGCAACCTCCAAGATCTCCCAATCATTGAAATTTCTACGGAACTGCACATCCCAAGATGCCCTCCCATTATAAAGCTGATAATGGTCAGCAACCATAGCATGCTTATTCACTAAGATCTTGAAAATACGAGGAAACCTACAAGCCAGAGTAAAATCCCCACACCAATGGTCCTCCCAAAAGCAAACGTGACTTTCACTTCGAACTTTGAACCGGATCCGTTTGGAGAGCTCATCCCATCCTGTCCGGATATACTTCTAAAAGCCCATGCCCGCTAGTGATATCACCTTCCTAGAAGTCCACCCTCCAAAATATTCCCCATAATGACATGCAATAACAAGCCTCCAAAGAAAAGACCTCTCCCTTCCAAATCTCCAAAGCCATTTACCCATCAGCGCCTTATTAAACAGCTCTAACTTTCGGATCCCCAAACCTCCTTTTCTAATAGGGGTACAAACTCTCTCCCAAGTGATGCTTGAACTCGTCTCCCATGCCTCCCCACAGACAATTCCACTGAATCTGGTCTAGTCTATGAACCACCATTATGGGCATCGGGAAAAGGGACATAAAATAGGTAGGGAGATACGATAGGGTGTTTTTCATGAGAGTAAGCTTTCCCCCTTTGCTCAAGTATTGTTTCTTCCACCTTGAAAGCGCTTAACAACCATCTCCCAAACTGAAAGCCTCCTCGACGTGGTTCCCAAAGGTAGCCCCAAATAGGAGATCGGAAACGACCCAACTCTACACCCTAAAATATCTGCTAACTCATAGATAAACTCAACATCCCCAACTTGAACTATCTCACTTTTCCCAATATTGATCTACAACCCGTAAACAACTTGAAAACAAGCCAAGATACACCTCAAATGTCTCAGCTGGACAACACTAGTGATAAGTGCTTAAATGTTGCACATTTCAGCACCTAAGCTAGGGTATCTTAGTCTTTGCATCTACCTTACTTTCCCGTTTAGTCTTAATTTGTGTTTTTCTCTATTTTAAGTCGATAAGGTTCAAACGGGCTAAAAGCAGTCCATTAAGGTCTTTTTGGAGATAACAGAATCGTTGCCGGTCATTCAAAGCAAGCCGATAGTCAAAATGGTGAAGTTTGGAGTAATTCAAGTGACAAGGCTCGAGCTCTACAGGAAAATAAGAAATTCAACTAAGGCATCAAAGCTCGAGCTTTGACCCTCGGAGCTCGAGCTCTACTTAAGGGTGCTAGAGCCTTACCTCAGGGTGCTCGAGCCTTTGCCTAAAAGCTCGAGCCTGAGGGTGTCGGAAATTAAAGAGTTGATTTCAGAGAAAGCCATGCTCCCAGGACCTCGTGCCAGACCTCAAGGGATCGAGCACTGTCATTCAGAGCTCGAGCCCTGAGCCAAAAGCTCGAGCTTTGCACCTAAAGCTCGAGCACCATGAAGAGAAGATCGAGCACTGTTAAAAGAAGAAATCCAAATTTGGCTAAGTGTAGAAGTTAAAGCTCGAGCCCAAGACCTAAAGCTCGAGCCCAAATCCAAAAGGCTCGAGCTATTGATGTTTAGTCAAACTTTTTAGATGCGGGATTAGACCATTTTGGAACTTATTTTCTGAGCTATTGAGCCTCCAAGGGCCATGTATAAAAGGGTTTTTGAACCATTAGTGACATATACTCATTTTTATTTAGATAATTTCAGATATATTGTCATAGTTAGAGATATCTAGGGTTCCACCCAACAAGAGAAAGAGGAAGCAAGGTTTGAGATGGATTATGAAGGCTTCTTGATACTTCCCTCCTCCTCCATGCTAGGCTAAACTTCTCCTTAGGGCTTGGATGAGCCCTAAGCATGTAACCTAAGACTCCTGTATTTTCATCTTTTTGCGGAATAAATGTGTAATTGATGCTTTAGCGTTGTGATTTATGGTTTAATTCTTTCTATTGATTATCTATATTAATCTCATGTTTGTCTTATATGTGGTTAATTGAAAATCAATCTCTACACTAGATACCTATGTTATTTGGATCTAGTGATGGCTATGCATGGTATTAATAGATGTAGTTGTTGATTAATTTAATGGATTATGCTTAGACTTGATGGATTGCACTACACCCTTAGTTTAATTGCATTTCAATTGTAGTGAAGTAGACAATCCATGCTTGTATTTGTCAACCATGCTTATTGTTGCAATTTGCATTATCCTCTTGTTTAATGTGTGCTAAAATTGAATTGAATTGATGCATCATGCTTTGACTTGGTGAATTGCACTGCACTTTAGTTTACTTGTCATTAAGTAGACAATTCTCGCTTGAAATTGATGTCCATGCTCTTTATTGCAATTTGTAGTCACATTTAGATTACATATGGTTTCTCCCTGTTCAGATTCTTGAGAGATAGGGAGAGAAAGAGAGAGAGAGATTGAGAGAAAATGTATGTTCTGTATTCCATCTCTTCAGCCCTCTAAATAAGGCTTATATAAGAAAAGGGTTAGAGACCCTAATTATATAATTACACAATAACCCTAACTACTATGGGTAATTACATAATGACCCAACACTATAAAGAATATACATTCTAACACTCCCCCTAAAGCTGGAGAATATATATCAAATAATCCCAGCTTGGAATAGATAGTCTTTAACCGATTATAACCCAGTGCTTTGGTAAACATATCATTTAGTTGATCTTCAGACTTCACAAATGGAGTAGAGATGCTACCACTTAATATTTTTTCCCGAGAAAAATGACAATCAACCTCAATATGTTTGGTTCTCTCATGAAATACAGGATTCGATGCTATGTGAACTGCTGCTTGGTTATCACAGAACAATGGAGTAAGAGTTTCAACTGTCAACTCAAGTTCTTTTAGAAGATTTTGTATCCATGTCAACTCACTAGTGGTATGTGCCATTGCCCTGTACTCAGCTTCAGGACTAGATCGAGCTACCACCGTTTGCTTTTTACTCTTCCATGTAACAAGATTTCCTCCTACAAATGTACAGTAGCCTGTAGTAGATCTCCTATCTGAAGGAGAACTAGCCTAGTCAGCATCTGTAAAACCTTCCACCCTGAGATGACCATTTGAATGATATAGTAATCCAAAACCTGGAGCTCGCTTGAGATATCGGATAATCCAAAGAACAACAATCTAATGTGGCAT